AGTAGTAGTAGTAGTAGTAGTAGTAGTAGTAGTTAGTAGTAGTAGTTGTTAGTAGTAGTAGTAGTAGTAGAAGTAGTAGTAGTAGTAGTCGTATTGGTAGTGGTAGTGGTAGTAGTTAGTTAGTTAGTTAGTTTGTTTGTTTGTTAGTAGTAGTATTGTTATTGTATGTTATTGTTATATAGTAGCCCTTTCGAAGTAAAAATCAAAATCACAGTTTCGGGTGGTTGAGGAATTGTCTTTTCTTTGAAAAGCAAAAACAAGCCTGCGAAAAATCCCTTCAAAGAAACAAAAACCACATAGTCACACCATTAGGCTCTCACCATTCAACCAGTCCAGGGTGCACCATCGAAGCTATCGCTGGCAGGGTTGATGACCAGGTTATCAAGTGCTGTTCAAACGCATTGCATAGCTTCACCTTTCATCAAGTCAAAGTGGTCTTAGCGGACTTTTATTGCAACAAATCCTAGGTCACACTTCGACTTCATGCTTTACTGATATGATAGCATGCGTGACTGACATGGTGTATCATCCTGGACAAGTCATGCCGGGTGCTGGTGCGGGTGCTGGTGCGGGTGCTGGGTGCTGGGTACCGGTGCTCGGCGCTGGTGCCCGCTTCTGACAGTGAAGTGATAACAACCACCACTTCTGAGAGTGAAGGGTGACAAGCCGCCGCTTGTAGCAGTGCAGGGCGGCCAACCGCCGCTTCTGACAGTGAAGTGCCAGCAGTCATCGGCCACGTGAACTTATGCGCGCAACATCATACGGTGTTGTCGCTTCAGCGTTCTTTGTCTATTAGCGCTGCGGTGTATTTACACTCTTCAGGTTCTGTTTTGGCCGACAGCTGTGTCAACAGCTGTACTGTTTGCGCGCATACTTTTGCACGTATAATGTTCTATGCGCAACGTCAGGCTCTCAAACGACCATTGTTTCAGCATGTTTCAGCATGCTACACACACAATAGTCGTGCTGCTTGGCCTTGGGCGAGTGAAGCCTACAGGCTTTGCCGCTTGTGCGCATACTTTTGTGCGCATAAATTATTCGCGCAAGATCATACGGCCTTATCGTTCCACAGATTGTTGCTTCAAGCATGCTACAAAGTCAATAGTGGCCCTGGATACTGCTTGGCCTTGGGCCAATGACACTTAAGGGCTTTGCTGTTTGCGCGCATACTTTTGTGCGCCTAAACTTATACGCGCAAGATCATACGTTGTTATTCCCCAAATAGGGATGGCTATGAGGTTCTTACTGCAAATAAGAATGAGCTGGCTGCGCCCGCATTCGAAAGGGTGTCGGTGCTGGTGCTGGTGTTGTGGTCCTGGGTGCTGGTGCTGCGAGCTGGCTGAGCGCGTGTTTAAGACGGGCGGAGGCGCTGGTCGGGTGCTGGTGCCGCTGCCGGTGTTGTCAGCTGGCAAAGGTGTTGGTTCGCATGTCAACAGGTCGTGGGATTCTGCCTAGCTATCTGGGTTTATGCTGGTGTAATTTTCCGGACCCGAATCGTCAGGCCATGCCGCCTCTGAAGTCATCAAATTCCTGAGAGCTTCGAAGGGCGTAGTTCGACTCGCAACTCAAAGTCGAGGCCGAGGAACCACCCTGAAAATCCTCCAAATATCTCCAAAATTCTGCCGCCTCTGTCCCTCTTTTCTTTCTCAGGTTCGGGTCGGGGGTTTTGGGGTGGGTGAAAGAGGGGAAAACAAGGGGAGTCGGTCCTGAATTGGAGGATGTGGGCCGTTGCAGGAAGCGCTCCAACGGACAAGGGGACCTCATCTAAAGAACTCCACGCACATCGCAGGAGACTCAGGAGACTCACAAAACCCGGAACTGGTTCACTGGAGACCAGGACCCGTGTCGATGCCCAAACCAACCGCAGGAACCACCGGTGGAACCACCGTGGAAGCGATCTGACCGTGTCTGGAAACACGACCAGCGGTCTTTGCACACACGCGGTCACGATGGGCTTTTCACGCAGACATGTGTTTGATCTGGAAAAAAGACCAAACGCTTTCCTGAAAGCTTCTGTGCTGCCAAATAGACGTTGAACTGGACTTCCAGGGCCATCTTTGACACTTCTTCCCTTGACCTGAACTCCAAGGCAACAAACCATGCGTCATACCGTAATACCCCTGTTTTGGCACCAATTCGGCCGCTTTGTCCCCTGTCCCCCGTTTTTGGTTCCAAGCTTCACTCCGATCTCGACAAATGTCCGTGCCTGGCACTCGGAACTCGGGCCCGGGCACTCGGAACTCGTCTGCCGGCTCGCAGCTGCTGAGCTCTTAGAAGAAAGGTAAAATAGTTAAATATAGTTAACGTAGTTAATCAACCATCCTCCCCAATTGGGATTGAGTCGTATCTCTTCATGTATATCACACGCATAGGGGGTTTGAATCGAAGATTCCACAGTAAATAAACTCTTTCACCGTTTTCTGAGAGAAAACAGGGTCGCCATCTCCCGAATGGAACTCTTCCCTTCTGCGAATGCCATCAATCCAAGAGCTGAAGACCCAGGGACCTGACAGTGAACCGGGTCCAGAAAACCCGCAACCCGCATGCGACAGCTGAATGGTCTCCTGCGCCTGTGAGATGAATGATCTCCCAAGAGCTGAAGAAAGCACAGCCGGTCAAGCCTCTTGGGTGATGGATATCAAGGCCTCGCCGTGGCGCACAGGGCACAGGGGGGGACGCAAAGCTGGCGCGTGCGACACGGGGCGAGTGCCTGTTCTGTAGCACTTGGAGTCAAACAGTGCTGGGAAAAGGATCCAACCGACCAACCAGCCAACCAAACAACCAGCCAGCCAACCAACCAGCGAACCAGCCAACCAACGAACCAGCCAAACAACCAGCCAACCAAGACTGTAGGTTAGGGCATCTATGGTTGGACAGTCCACTGTTGGTTGGATCACCAGAGTTGTCCCACTCACCCTGAGGCTCGGCTCGTCCTGCCAGTCTCGGTGTCTTGAGCCGTCGTCCTGGGTGGTTCCTCGTCAGTGAAGGGGGCCGATCATCCCAAAGCAACTAGAGCCAAGGGTGCACAGTTCTTCTTCATAGACCAAGACCTCACAAGATCTTCGGATGGGCTATATCGAGATGGAGGCCGTTGCTATTTGGTTGGAGGTCTTCGCTCTTACGGCATGCTCCGGACAACGTCGACCGGCCGCGGATACCGCGGCAGAATTCGCAACGACGACCCCGATGGGACAGTGACGGGATAAAACATGTCCCTTGGCCTTCAAAGACCATTTAAAAGAATGGTTGACCTGGTGATGTTGTGAACATCCTCTTGTAAAACAACGGTTCTTTGGTGAAGACATGTAAAGACCATGAACAAACATGGTTGTTCGAATCCTAATTAGGGTGTCTAAATATGGCGCTGTATGGAGTAATGTGGATACAATGTCTTCTTGTCCGAAGCCACAAACACTTCATAACGTGCTTGACGGGTGTTTAGCCGAACAGTTTGAGTCGGTTGGGATGCATCGTGCCTCAGGTCTTTAGAGTCTTTAGTCTCACGAAAACCTTTGAACCTACCATAATTAACCGACCTGGGACGAATCCCAAAGGATCCTACCTGACTGGAGGAGCTAGCTGCCATGAAAACGGATTCGAGCCCCATTTGTGGAAGAGGGAGCTTAGTGAACACTATTATATATAGTGAATATACTTACTTAAACTGAATAACCAGGGGTTACTTCAACTTGTTATTGCTTGGTTGCCGTTGCTCTGATCACACAAAAAACATTCCACTACACTTCTTTCGCAACTCAGGGTTGCTTGGCAAAACGGTCACGGTCATGTCACGTTTTGCCCACCGGACATCATCCGGACGGAGACCCGAACCCGACGGACCCGCTCCCGACGAACAATGGTCGGACGAACGGTGACGTCCGAGTTTCGGCATGTCACCGAAACGGGGTTTTCAGGTTCCAGAACTGGTCGATCACTGGACTTCTATTTTTTGGGGGGCTCTTTTTAGCAGTATCCTCCAACAGGTCACCAATGGTTCGACCTGTTGGGGCCCAAGAACCCTCGAACAAGGAGACCTGTTGGAGGATGCTCGAACGGTTGCTGCTCGTTCCCGAAGCACCTCGCCCTCTGAACGTTTTGACCAATCCTTTGGCCCGAAGCACCCCGTCTCTGCCCTGCCTAGGCTCCATTTGCCCTGAACCAAGTCGTGCACCCAGCCCAAGGAGGCATAGTGTAGCACCGCCAGATCCAAACTCAAAGTCTTGTTGGGGCCCTGGGTGCGAACGTGGAGATGTGGTTTTGGGAGATGTTTGCAGATGTGTCCAGATCTGAAAGCTCGGGCGCCACCAATGTGAGAAAAAGACATGAAGAGGTTTTGGTCTCATTTGGAAACATGAAGGGGTGAAACGACGTGTTGAAATTCTTTCTCATCTGCTTGTTAATGTGTACATGGATCTGCTTTGGTACCACATACAGAACCCAGGGATGGGGTTTGGCAGGGAAAGTACGTGCAGTAGGCTAGGTGATTTTGTGAATCTGATTGACCTTCTTCTCTGGCTACGTCCTTCGAAACCTCCAAGACCCTCAGGGATCTGGGCACCTCAAAACCATTCAAAACCATTTCCCTTCGTCTGTGGGTCCCCCCCAAAAGAGTGGGCAACGGGTCAGCAGCTTCGAAGAACTGCAGAACTCCTCGCGTGAGAGGAGAGGCACTCACTCTGGCTGTTTGGATCCTGAATCAGAACTGAACCACATGGCACCCACATACCCCCCAACTTAGCAGGGGTAGGTGGACCATGGCGACTACCTTCGCCCTTCTCTTCATTCGCCAGGTGCTCTCTTCTTTCGCCGGGTGTCTCCCCCATTTCGACCCATCTAGCGAGGGTCTTCGCTTTGGCTCTTTCGCTTTGACCGGCCACCTCCAAAGACTCCAAACCCGGTCCCGGGCCCGGCCCAGGTCTTTCGAGGGATGACCTGGTCAGTACCTCCAACCAAAACATCCACCAAAAGCCTGGCATCTGACCCATCTGCCACCCCAAACCCACCCCAACATTCTACGCCATCGTGCAAAGAAGAAGGACCATCCCTTTCTCATGAAGGACCTTCCCTGTCTCCGAGTCGCTGGGAGCAAATCCCAGAAGTGCATCTGAGCGGCCAAAGACCCGCAGAAACGTGCGGAAAACACGATGTGGACGGGTGCACAGTGCAGCTTCTCTCAAGGTTGCACAGTGCAGCTCTAGGGTGGAGTATGGGAGACCAATCAAACTGGTGACTGTGGACAAAAAGGGGACCACGCTAGACCAACATGGGTTATCAAGCAAAGAGTATTGCTGAGAAGGGAAAGGGCTATACAAGTTATACGTACCATCTTCATGATGCCAAAAAGCCTCACTGTTGCTTCAAAAGAGAATTCATCATTTCCATGACCCAACTTCATCATACTTCATGTAAATCATGCTCAAGGAATCTCAAGGATCTGTTCATCTCTTTTCAGGCTCAGAAGATTCCCCCCCAGCGATGTCCCAGCGCTTTCGGCCGGGCCACACCCTCCAACGAACGACGAACGTTGGGTGAACCAACGGTCCGTCCGGTGCGGAGCCGATCTGGACGCCGCAAACGAAGCTTTGACCCATCTGCAGATCCCATCGGAGGTCGCTCAGTTCGGATCTTGGAAGGACCCTATGCCGCCCTCAGACTGGTGCCATCGCGGCTTGGCGGCCAGGGGGGGGGGTGTTGGAGGCCATCGCGTTTGTTAGTAGCTTGACCTGGTTGACCTGAGATCCCGGGAAGTTTGGTCCCACCTCTTTTTGAGGGTCACTGGAATCCTCAAGTTCGGTCACGAACAACTGAAGAAGCTGGTGGACGTGTACACGTCCTCTTCAAAACGATCAAAATGAAGGCGTCTCCGCGTATCGACCTGCAGATGCAACTCAGCTTCCCGACCTGCATTTCATTTCGGTATTGGATGATGTGAGGCTTCTTCAATTCCTGCACAACAGAGTGGCTGAGGATGTCAAGCTTCGTTCAGGTGCAGTCGGGCCAGTCTCGACAGCCATTGGATTCTAGTGCGTACTGCAAGGCGCTCTGCAGGGCCACTGAAGGACCAAAACGATGTTTCCAGATCCAACTTTCCCACACCCAAGAGGGCGACCCGAACGACCCAACCTGCAATGTTGGTGTCCAAACCCCGAAACAAGTGACAGAACAAAACCCTTCGCCAACGGAAACTGGGTCCTTTTGCTTCGCTTGAGAAGGAAGACTGCTTGATCAATCCTGATCAATCCAGCTCGCGTCCCTCACGTCCGCAAAATTCCTCCCAAGTACACGTCCTGCTTGTTCAAGACGTATGCGAACATACCATGCATGAAGTTGGCGATGTAGGGATCATTGATGAAGCGCTGCGGCGTCCAATCCTGAGACAAAATAGGTAATGGGCAAAATAGGGTTCCATAGAACTCCAATTTGACCATCGCCACCGCCATCACCACCACCACCTCACCACCATCAGCACGACGATCTGTCCCCTGAGCGCTGCTCAATCTCTCCAAACGACGCGCTGCATTTCTCAGCGCTGCCCAAGCGTCGTCACAAGGCAAGCTCTGCATCTTGCGCGAGGTCAAACTGGCCAGGAATCGAGGAACGAGCCAAAGTCTGTGGTGAATTATATGGGTGTGTATTAGCATACCAACAGAGTAAGGTCCTATAAGGTCACTTACAGTAACCTCTCTTGGTAGGGAGTCCCCCCCAAGGACCCCCCCCCAACCTACTTTTTTTGAGGACTCAGGACTCAGGGTCTACCCAGGTTGGGAGGTCTCCCTATTGAAATACTATGCATATGTGGGGTTATGTAGGGTATATTGATGGGTGAGCAAGCCGGTTGAGGGTCGAGTTTCGCACCAAGGGTAGAGCCAAGAACAAGTCCAAAAGGTATACTCAACATACCAGAAGTCACAAGACGGGGTGTTTTTTTATCCTCAAGTGAGTGGATTATGGGCACCCCTATCCTCCAAGTTCGGCACCCCGTCTTGTGACTCCTGGTATACTTGACGCTTTTTTTTTCCATCGTTTTTCTCTCATGTCTTTCCTGCGAGCCGCCACCCTGAAACTCTCAGCTTCCCCGTCGCCAACGACGACCAGTGACCCCTGGAGCGCTGGAGAGGATGTCTCCCCTCGGTCCGGCCTCCACCGAAGACGTGAAAACCGGTTCCAACGAAAAGAACACCGGTTCCAGGAGTTCCACATGGATCAAATTGCCTTTAAGGATCTTTTCAGTACTTTTTTCTACCAAATGAGTGGACAAAGAGTTGCCCCTCCCCTCCCAAAACCAAGCCACACCAACAAAGGAACGCTTGGAAGTTCTTCAGTGCCTCTCCCCTTTGGGACACTCTCCGTCGATCACCGTAGCCTTAGGACGGACCCAGGAGCGCCTCTTCCAGACGCAGAGTTTAGGGCATCCGAAGGCCGTGCTTGAAAAGGCACCAGCTGCTGGATCGATCGCCTCGCGGAGTTGAAACATCTTCGAAGGGCGGAACCCGAACATCGTTCGCCCAGAACTTGCGCAAAGGGCGTCACGAGAAGAGGAAGGGTGAGCGATGAGTGGGTTTGGTGAGAAGGATGTTTGGCGACCTTCCATGTTTTGATGCAAAGTTCCATGTGAGCTCTTGTGGTTTACTGTTGGGATTCCTCCAAGACATTCAAAGCTCAAAGGAAAGGCCATTGGCAGAGCTGAACCCAAGCCAACGGCCATGGGATGTCTCGTGGGTCGGTCGCGGGTCCGTCCGCCCATGGAAAACACCAAAAGGTCCGTCGGATGCGTGGGATGCCCCGCCCTCGGAGCCAAATGGCGCACCATGACACCCCTGAAACAGGGTATATGTAGGTGGACGTCCCAGCTGGCTAGTCTGCTCTGCCTCACTCTGTTGGCGAGTCGGCGCGTCCCTCGTTGTTTGCCAAAACGCCGCACTTCGGAGTCTCTGATCCCAGGTTGCACACGTGATTTGAGACACTCTTATGTAGGTTTGGAGGGTTCAGTTGTATACCTTCTGAGAAGCTACTACATTCTTGGTGGGAAAAACCGTCCCTTGTACTCCCAACATCCCACAACCAACATCGCGCGCATGGTCTCATGCTGCCACACCGGCACGTACCGGCGTTACGCCGACCTGGCACATCCAAAAGCATCCAGGGACATGTTCCACAAAACTGCAGTTTTCATGGGCCCAAAAAACCGTATGCCCCAGCGCCCCGGGCCTAGTGTGTGTTTTGGACATCTCATGACACCTCCGAAATGCCCCGAATCGGCAGGGCTTGCCTTCTCTCCCGAACCGTCTCCCGCGGGGGGCTTCGACCCTGCGGTCTCCGCACTTCGTCCCCTCGCCGACGCCAAAGCGGTGCCGTCCCAGTCACGTTGTCGCAGCCGCAGGTCTCGGGACATAACGCACGCCTTGGAGGACCAGGTCGCAGCCGGTCGAAAGGGGGTCGGGTCGAAAGGGAAAGGGCAGGTCGTTTGAAGGGCTCCGTTTCAGTGCCTGGTGTGACTCTGTTTCAGCCAAGTACACTGAGTTTTCTCAAAGAAATGCCAGTGAAAAGAGAAGCATGCGTCCTTGTGCACTCAGGGGCCAACTGCTTCCTTTTGAGGTCTGCTTGATCCAACGAGGGGTAAGTGCTGGGAGAAATGGTTCTTATTCACGCGCTCACCACCGGAAAACTACTCTTTGTGTAGAGGTGTGCTGATTGCCCGATAGGACCGATAGGAAGCTCATCTAAACCCGAGCCGGTTTCTTTGGGCAAATAAAGGTCGACCTCTTTCCAGTTGGATTTGAGTGGGAAACCAACCCCCCAAAAGGCTTTGAAGGTTGTCCACTTTTCCTGGGTTAGGTCATGATTAGATGACTTCTCTTCCAATTAGATCCGTGGAGCACTTTTCTGTTTCGAGGAACCACCCTGACCCTGCGCATGCCGAAAACAAATTTCATCAGGATTCCACACCACAGCTGAAAACATTTGATCTTTTGAGTCTCCAAATAGACCACAAGTGTTCCAGACATAGAACACTGGAAGGGATGTGTCAAGACTGTCAAGACTATAGTCTCCACGTCCTTGGATATCAAGGACGCCCTTGCAAGCGCTTGCAAGCCTCCCCAATGCTTGTGCTTTGGAAAAGCTATTTCATCCACCTTCGACAGCAGCGACAGCAGCGTGTGGGCACCCAGCTTCCGGCACAAGGGTCTCGTCCAAGAAAGAACTCCACCAGGTCTCATGAGGGTCCAAGTTAGACCGTTCACTCGGGCGTGCCCAACAAACCCTGGTGATATGGATGTGCAGCTCAAATAACGAGATCTCCCAGATCGACCCCCTGAAAGGTTCGGCAAATAGACCAGTCAACCCAGCTAGGGCCAGAGTGTCTCCCTGTAAAATTTTAAAATACATGGATCATGGTCCTGGTGGAGGTTTTGGTGTCTGATCCATGCCTTGGTCCAAGCCATCATTTCTAGTCACCCCAAAGCAGTCGCTCGAGCAAATTGCTGAGCGATCTCCTGATCGTGCCAAGATGCAAGGCAGTCATATTCCTGGCAAATCATGGCATGGGATGAACAATGTTCTGGCAAGTTTATGTCGGGCTACCTAAACCGACCTTCCTCCAATCGATTCTGCGGGAAAGAAGATTCGTCTTCTTCCACTCCTGCAACTAAATATTTGTTTTACAAAGCCTTCCCCCTGCATGTGGGCCGTGGTTCGGATATGGCATGGTCTGGAGCCACCAATTTCCAACTACTCTTGTCCCCTTCAAATCACACCCTCAGCGTCCTGGTCTCCGTCCTCAGCGTCCCGGTCCCACGGTTCCGTGACGGGCCACGACGGATGACGGACCGATCCAACTGCGTAGCCGATTCATGGAAGAACGAACCGGAGGTCGACTGGGAGACCGTGAACGAGCCATGAAGAGTTGGAAGACTTGGCCAGTGAAACACTCCCCCGTGGCCGGTCTCACCGATCCCCAAACAGGGGTACGGTTCTTTCCTTACAGGTGGGTGGTGTGCTTCTCCTCAAAAGGAACAGTTCAACTCACACCGAAATGGATGGCCATGGAGATCCAAACAATTCTTCCTCTGCCCCAAACCCTCGCTATAGGGCGGCGGGCTACTCGACACCCCAAACCATCGTGGCCATTCGACGGCTGACCCCTCCTCCATCCAGCCGAAAAAATAATAGCTAATAGCGACCCAACCGTGGGCGTTTTGAGTAATGAATGTTTAATTACTCAATTTCTAGTAGCGATGCCCTTTGCTCCTAGTAGCTTCTTATTCCTAGTAGTACGGCCAGGAGAGCGACCAAACTGCGGGCGTCGATCGAGTGTCCCTGCCTGGGGTGTTTCACCACTTCCAACGGCTGCGGCCGAAAACCCTGGGCTGTTCACCGGGCGGTTCACCCACGAACCGACCAACCAGTCCACCCATGGCGAGTCGGTTCGACCGCCTCCAAGCGCACTGAGCAATGTCAACCTCAGCACAGCGCTCCACATTGGCCACTTCCAGAAGCTGTGGCCTGCGCTTCACATTGGGATGCAGTTTTGGTTTTGGGGGTCCAGGGTAGTCCGTCCATTGGACCGTGATCCAGGCGCTGCACCTGTGATTTTTTGGATCTGTGCGCAAAGTGAAGGTGATCATAGCCAACACATCTAGGGGAGGTAATCATACAGAATTGGGGAGGGGACGCGTCATAAAAGTCACACTATTAATATACACTAATCACACCTGGGGGAGGGAAGGGAAGGTCCCTCGTCATGTCCCGTATGCTGAGATCGACCCTGCCATCTGATTGGAAGGGTGGGAGGATAGTGGCAGGGCCATCGGATGGTTTCATCAACAGCATCCCACTATAGTTGTCCTACATCGGTCTTCAGACGGTTTTGGGCATGAGAAAAACAGGACGACCAAACACTATTTGCATTCTTTGGGGTATCCCGGGGGTGTCCCAGGCAGTGTAAGAAAGAGCATGTTCCTTCAATGATCGGGGGCTATCCGATTGAACACGCTTGAAGTGGAGCATGATTCAGGCGATCACCTCTCTCTCATCCGGCATTGAGTTAGGGCTAGTACCTTTGTGTTGTTGCAAGGGGAAACCAGTCCCCCCAGCTCAATTCCAACTCTGCATCGAGTTGGAAGTGATGCTTGACATGGTCTCTGAATGCATCAATGGCTTTTGAATCCAACAGCTTCCTTACTCTAATTCCATGGGTTGCTTGATGGTGAAAACATATGTGATCATGACAAACGATGACAAAAGTGATGAGTCTACCGTCTATATCTGGCGAAAATTCCCCAATTTCCTCCCCTGCTCTTCGTTCCTTCCGCTGGGCTGCCAAGGCTTGGCCCCGAATCCCCTCAAACCAAGCACGACCGACCCGGGAGGATCACGCGCAAAGGAAGGACCAAACCTTGAAGTGACCTGAAGGTCACCCTCCGAGCGCCGAGCCTGGCCACAGTTTTGGGGTAGGACTCATCCATGCACGGCATCATCCCAGCTTGGTCCTTCACATCCTGGGGAACTCGACGCGAGCGAAGAACTCCCTGCCCTGGTACGACTCCGGGCCCGGAAGCAATGGAAAGGCTTTGGTTCGGGTTCGGACCCCTGCCAGGTGTCGGGTTTGGACCCCTGCGAAAGGGTCGCGTCCAAGACTTCTTAGGAACTGAACCGGGTGCTCGTCTTCGGCCGGAGATCTCAAGGGTCTCCCAAGAAAAAAACGAGGTTGGAGGCCATCGCTTCTGGGTTGCTGGTAGCATCCCAACTCACGTTTAAAACGCCCACGCCATCCCACGCCCCCACCTCGCAGTTTCAGAGGGAAAAACAAACATATCCCAAAAACATCCCAAAACCATTAGTTGAAGTGTCCGGATGCACCTTCCAAGTGACCTCTTCAGAGTCTCTAAGTGACCTTTTTCTTAGGCCTTCGTGAGTGATCTCCGCGGATCTCAAGGATGGTCATGTTGAACACCCGCCTGCGTCCTGATTTAAAGGGCCACACAACTCGCAAGTTGTTCATGGCAGCTCTGGCTCCGACTGCCACAGACTTCCAGCCCTTTTTCCGGCGTGACGAGAGGCCGACAGTTCAATGGCTTCCACCCATTTGATGACTGCCATGTCGGGATCATCCTGAGATGTCCAGAACTTCGCCCCCATGGTCACTGATCTCTGAACGTTCTTTTTTCATGAATTTTCATGCACCAGTACCACTTGGAGGGTGTTTCACCTCTTACATCCTAGGGGTTCAAACATCAACAGTCTACATGAAAGTCACCCCACATACCCCACATGAGAAGAATGACTAGAGACCAGGGTGCGTACCTTTGGAGACCTGGAAGGTTCGGAAAGGTCGACCTGTTCTGGTCTCCACCTCCCTGATATCGTTTTCTCCGAGGCCGGAGAAAAGCCTCCCCAAACCAACCGGACCACGCCCCTCGGAACACCCACGTTCCTCTTCCTTCGGGCTGGGGGGTGGCCTACGGACCACTACAGACCGACCCACGGAAACGGCATGGCTGTGGGAGCACTGAGAATGAACAAATGAACAGAAAGGCGACGCCCCCAGACATGGTGTGAGTGAGTGAAAGGGGCTCCGAGTGCCATGACTCACAGCCATATCCTTTGAACTCACCCTCCCGTTTTTGGGGTGCACCACTTTTTTGCGGAATCCATTGTGACATCTTGTGACTGGCCCAGCTGACGTGGGGAGTCCTGTGACATGGTTCCACAAAATTGGGGTCCACTCTTGAAAATGTAACTTAAAATCAATCCCATGCAGTCTTTTTGACCCTTCACCCGAGTCAAACCTCCCCAAAACTCCTCAACAGAGTGAATGTTCTGGGCACCCCAACTTCCTTCGTGGATAGCACCCCGTTGGAACTGCTGGTAGAAGCACCAAGTGAGGTGGGGGTTGTGCCATCGTCGCTAAGCTACCTTCGGCTCCCCCCCACACCACGGCTGCCGAGGCACTGACAAAGGATTGCTCCGGTGCAGGGCGGGGGGCGCATTCTCGTAGAAGCGGTCCAACTGCTCCTGCCTCACAAAGCGGTCCAACATGTCGTGAACATCAGCTGACGATCTGAGCAAAGCAGCTCACCCTCTCCAGTTACTTAGTCTGTTTTTGTGATGCTGTTTTGCTTTCTCGACCTCTCCTTGGCAAGAAAGAGCGAAACCAACAGATTCTGACCCAGTTCTTCTCCGTTTTCGAAGGCTGAGAGTGCGAAATCATGTCATGGGTGCTTCACATGCGGAGCTCAGTGCACCCAACAAAGCATTCAGGCCCTCCATCCTACTCGCGATGGCCTCCAACCTATATTAGAAACGAGGATGAGTTCTGGAGGCCAAGCAGTGAAGAGGCTCGGTGGACCAATTTGCAGGGCACAGAGCTTTCAAAAAAAAGAAACGGAGTCTTTGACTTGTTGGCTATGAGGAATTCCCATGTCCATTGGCCAGGGAGGAGCTGCAACATGAACACTTTCAAACATCAAGGCAACGTTGGTGGTCCAGAGGTCATTGATCATGCGAAGGGTGCCATGCACCAACACACACAAACACATACACACCCCGCCATCTCTCATTTGCAGGTTTAAGCTTAAACGATTTCTCCACTCTTCATTGGTGTGCTGAAAAAGACATGCAGGTACATTATGGCTTATGTCAACATCTGCTGCAACACTCAAACGCGGCTGACGAGGCTGTTGTTCAGCTTGTGAAAATTGCGACGGAAAACTACGACTTCAAGTTCTGTAAACACATACCAGGGCCCCCCTCTTTCGGGGTGTCTGACTATAGCCCCTTACAGCGTGACTTGGGGTGTTCATAAACCACCCCATCGCCCATGGGCCCTGGTACATAGAAGAGAACACTCACTGCACTAGGAAAGCGGTCCACACCTATTCAGGGTATCAACCTCTTTCCCCACCAGGATAGACCTCTGTCCTCGTCATAAGCCTGTCGATCTGGCCCACAAACAACTCGAAATCATTACGTACTAGACGACGGTTGGCCCGAGAGCGAGACATGTAATTGTCCAGCACTGTCGAAAAGATGTATTGAAAGAGAGAAAAGAGAGGGTGGATGTCAAGGAGTGACAGTGTGGATGTGCAGGTGCGATATAGATCTGTAGTGGATGTACAGATGTGATATAGATGTGCAGATGTGTGGGTGTGGTGAGGTGGAAAGGTAGATCTGCGGATGTGAGCGTGTGAAGATGTAAATGTAGAGAGGTGAGGGGGTGTAGACGTAGATGCGTCGATGCAACGTCAGCGCAACGTCAACCTTAGTTGTGCCAGTACAACGCTGAAGAGGTTCAAACAGAACTGAAGAACGTACATTTCACACTGAAGTTTCCACGAACAGGGCGACCTGAGAGTAAACGACGTCACGATCATGACAAGCGACTCGTGTATTCCAAGCGAACATCGTTTGTCATGAAGGTGAAGTACACACATACTAACGTCACGATGACTCTTTTGTGGCAGCCACTTATGAGTAAGCAAAGTAGCTAAAATTTGTCAACCTCTCAAGAGAGCCGGGTGGCGCGAGAGATGACTCAGCCGCGAGAGATGACTCATCCGCGTACTAAAGTTGTACTACAAAGTCGCCAGTTCTCATCTTCCAGCTCCCGAGATACTCCGCGTACTAAAGTTGTACTGTACAAAGTCGCCAGTTCTCAACGCACGATCCCCGCAGAGGGTTGCCCGCGACCCGGACAAATCGCGCTCTCGCCTGCATTTCGTGCACACACGCGCGATCCCCGCAGAGGGTTGTCTCGGACCGGGACAAATCGCACTCTCGTTTGCATTTCGCGCCCTCGACACGCACGATCTCCGCAGAGGGTTGCCCGCGCCAAAACTAAATCGCACTCTCGCCTGCATTTCGCGCATTCGACACGCACGATCTCCGCAGAAGGTTGCGCCGGACAGAGACAAATCGCACTCTCGCCTGCATTTCGCGCACTCGAGAGGGTTGCCCGCGCCAAATCCAAAACGCACTCTCGCCTGCATTTCGCGCATTCGAGCCGGACAGAGACAAATCACACTCTCGCCTCGATTTCGCGCACTCGACACGCACGATCTCCGCAGAGGGTTGCCCGCGCCAAAACCAAATCGCACTCTCGCCTGCATTTCGCGCACTCGACACGCACGATCTCCGCAGAGGGTTGCGTTTCGTGGCGGTCCGGCGGCACTGCCCCCGGCCTTAAGAGAGAAAGTTAAGAAGAGCGAGAGGTGAAGATGTGAGCTGTAGATGTGAGGATGTGAAGATGAGCAGAGATGTAGATGTGCAGATGTGAACAGGAGCAGAGATGTAGATGTGTGAAGATGAAGATGAGCTGAGATGTAGATGCGAGGATGTAAAGATGAGCAGAGATGTAGATGTGCAGATGTGAAGATGAGCAGAGATGTAGATGTGTGATGATGAAGATGAGCGGAGATGTAGATGCGAGGATGTGAAGATGAGCAGAGATGTAGATGTGCAGATGTGAAGATGAGCAGAGATATAGGTGAGAACGTGATTGTGCAGAGGTGAAGATGTGAAGATGTAGAGGAGGTGTAGTTCTGCAGATGTTTTTTTACGAAGAACCCTTCGCAGACGCTCTCGGGAATACACAGAAAAAACACGTGTGCATTCCTCCTGAAACCATCGGTTCTTGCATGGTTTTGTTGATTCTCCTTTTTGCATCACTGCTTTCCCACTGGCGCCATATTTCATCAGTGCACCCTTCTTCGGCCACCACATCCAAGTGACGTTACGTCCCACTCGGGCACGGTGAAGAGCCCGGGATCTGCTAGTCCTGAATCGGAGTTTGGGATGTCCCACGCCCTTTTCCACCGAAACCACTCGTCATCTCCCGGACCTCCCAGAAAAATCCAAAAGACGCAAGACCGGTTGGAGCGCTCGAGTGTTTGGAGGTGGGAGCCACGAATGTCCGGCTCACCAATGACACTTGGAGGGTGGAGAGGTTTGGCCCTTCTGGGACCACCCGCGTGAAGAAATTTGTGGTAGAGATAGGTTTAAGTTGATTCTTTCTAAACACACACAGGAAAATGAAAAAAACATAAGAACGTCCCGCATTTTCACATGTGTTTTGCTGGCATAAAAACAAATTTGTGATCTTGGTCTTGATCCTGTCAACCATTTCAAAATCTAGGACGGTCTCTCATGCTACGCGCTCGCATGGCCCAAAAAACACCGTGTTTTGACACCATTCACTTTCTCGAGACCATGCAAGAATAAGGAAACAACTTGGTGTAGATGCTTCACCGATCCAGATACCCCAAAAAACACAAGTCCCAAGCAACTGCGACATTTCATCCATTGTTGGTTCTCACGTTTTCAGCTCAGAGCTGGGACGTGCCCAGTGGGGTGCTGACAGCATCATGCCCCCCAGTTGTCACGTGTTGTTTTTGATTCTTGTATTTACGCGCTTCGACCATCTACAGGCGTCAAGACTGATTAGGCTGCAGGCCGACAAAGTGATGGTGGTGATGATGGTGATAACGGTGGTGACCGTGGTGATAGTGGTGGTGGTGACGGTGGTGGTGATGAAGGTGGTGATGGTGGTGGTGGTGGTGATGATGGTGATGATGGTGGTGGAGGTGGTGCTGTTGGTGGCGCTGGTGCTGACGGTTCAACACAAAGAAGCAAAGCGTAAATCTGTTTTCGAGGCAGAAACTCTTGCACTGCGCTCGTCAAGGTTTGTTGATTGATCTGCTCCACGAACATCACTGCGACCGTCCCGAAATCTGTACATCCACATAAAGCCGATCTCCTGCGCCTGTCACGCAAAGTCGACTTTGGACCACCAACACTAGGTTTCCCTCACGCCTGCCACGAAAAGTGATCCCAAGTCCGAAAATGTGCACGGCACCACAACAAGAGCGCAGTCTCGAAGAGCACCCGCGCCAGCCCACCAGATTCTGTGCCCCTTAACTCTTACCGTAAGAGCCCCTAGTGCGGACACACTGTTTGGGAAACATCCTATTGCTCCTAAAGTCTCACAGGGCAGACACCATACCTGGAGTCTTAATTAGGTTGACCTTCTTCATTTCTCCTTCCTTGTTCGAAATTCTCCAAGCATCGCAGGACCGTGCGCTGGCTCCTGGTCAAATGCTCCGGCGAATCCTGGGGACTCGGGCGACTCCGTGTCGATCGGCCGGCGGAGAGGTGGAAACGCGCGCTTCCAAGAGAGCGAGCAAGACAATCGCTCCCTTGTTGGACGACATGCATGGGGAGACTTTTAGTATATGTCGTCTGTTCCTTCTTTTTCAACAATGGCTCCTTTGTGCTCTAGTCTAGTTTCCTTGTTTCTTCTTGTTCAACAAATGGTCTTTTCGGATAGGGTATGTTCTAGAACTTGGCTGTGAGATGTCGCTTTGCTCCGCCTGAGCATCAACTGGGAGCTCACCTAGTCGGTTGAGACATGCTAAGACGTACAACTACTGCCGCTACTTCACCGTTTGGCCAAACAACACCCTCTAACTAGCTAAGCCAGGACCTTCATGTACCTTCTCCTTGTCCTGAAACAATCCCCAAATCCAACAAGTTCCCAGTGGAGTCGTCCCATGGCCACCGTGGAACTCTGGAACGATCGTCGGTCGATCTGCGTGGGCGACACCGAAGAAAGCTGGGAACGGTCGTTCTGCCGAATCTGGGTCCTCACATGGGTTTAGGGTTTTCAGGTGCCATGAAGGGCCCTGGTGGAAACGTTTTTTGGGTGGGAAGTAGCTTTCTCGGCCTGTTGAGACCAGTTGTCCAAAGATCCAAACTCAATGGCTCTGCAATTTCCACCCAAACCTCCTCCTCTGGGTTTATCTCTCTCTCTCTCTCCGCTTTCTGGCAGGTTTTCCTTGAAGGTGTTGGTCGTTTCGATGATGCCGGTGGCAGGATTCACCTCAGGCATGGCTGTGGTGAAACCAGGTTTGAAAACAGAAAAGAAAGCAACCCCCCAAAAAACAGCAGGTGACGCCTTTCACATGATCAGTAAGTACTCCTTCTGGGGTTCGATGGCGACCATGGACACAGATGGGAGTCCACCCACCCTTTGCCGGAGCCGACCGCTCCGACTGGGTCACTCCATCTCCGGCCTCAGGGTGGGGTGCCATCTGAATTACGGTCGACCGGACCCGGCATTGAGAGGCACCAACCAAAAGGTCCGGAAAACAACAGCAAAAGGCTCCAACTTTTTGGCTCTTTTGCTCACAGGTCCAATTGGGCGCCTTTTTAGGGCAACCCGCCGTGAGCCGTGAGCGAAAAAGTAAGAAGTCCAGCGCGCTTTCCCTTTTCGCGGCCGAACATCGAGAAAAAGGCTACGACACATCACCCCCGGCAAGCCCCTTCGGCCCGGTGCTTCTTTGGTTCCGGCCGGGGGTGCCTTAACACGGTCCTGTTTCGTCCGGTCCAGCGCGCGGCTGGAAGGGGGGGGCCGTGACGGAGCTCCTATGCGGCGAGGCGCCGAAGCGGGAAGAAGGGGATGGGCAGGTCTACAGAGCCTTCGTTCGAGACCTGGAACCCAATTGACCTCTGTTTTGAGAGGAAGTTTGGCCATCTTTTTGGGGTGGTTGGTCCAAAATAGAGCTCATTCAGCAGGTTCTATAGGTGTAGATTACATGTTAATCTGTGGGGAATTCTCTCTTTGACTCACGTCGTGTTGATGTCCAAGCTCTCCTTCCCCGCACCAAGAGACCCTATCGACCGATGGATCTCCGAGTCCTCTCTCCTCTTCGCTCGTGGGGCCCTCGGGTTTCACCTGCTGGACCCCCCCCGACACCCAGCGAGTTTCACTAGATAACCAGTTCGGAACCACTGAGTTTTCACTATATAAACCCCACCGGACTACACTCAGTGGGGTGGATTCCGAAGCCCACCAGGTTTCACCCGGTTCGGAATCCACTCAGTTTCTGGAGGTTCCGGTGCCCACAGAAGCTCGACCCCTTTCCGGCTGGCTCTGCTCGGCCGGACCCGAAGTCTGGCAGGAACAGCTTCCACCCTATTTTCAGCCCAGGCACGGCATAGATGAAATCCTTCCTGGACGACTCGGCGTTTGAGTTTTCGTGGGGGGAGCGGTTTCTCCATGGGGCTATAGAAAGAAGGTATATATTGCCTTGCTGGAAGAATCATGGAACATGGATGGCACCACCTGTTTGGTCTTTTTGGTCTTCAGACTTCATCATCTGAAATTGGGACCATTTTCCATCATTTTCCCACTATAAGTGTAGATTCTACTTCTGGGTGTCCCATCTGGGCGGACCCCAAAAATGGTGCGCTTTACGAGTTGACAGCAACCATCGTTTGAAGCGAAGGCCAAAGCGTGTTCGATTGGGTTCCAGTGTGATCTTGATCAGCTTGCTTTGACATCCATATCATTGCAATTGCAGCAGTTGATAATCAACCTCCATATTTAGAAGACACTTGAAGTTGCTTGATCAGAGCCTGTGTTTGCACACGTGCATCCAGGCATAAGTAGTAAGCTAGGCTTTGATCTTGAAAGTGTAAGAGACTAAAGCAGTAGTGCAAAGTTTTCTTGTCTTGGCGCGCCGGAAGAACGGCGGCCTGGAGGCGGCGGATGCGCAGGCGGCGAGTCGGAGATGGCTGAGCTCTTTCGATGTGGATTCACGATGATTCAGACATTGGCAACCTGAATGAATCATCTCAGTGATGTCCTGCATCATTCCCCAATCCTTTTCCCCCCAAACGGCGCGGTCTCCAAAGCTGGGTGCCCAGTAGCTCGCCCCCGCAGAGGATGTTAATCGCCAAGCTGATCCTGCCGAGCTCGGACAGCGGCAGCTTTTGGGTCTCATAGAGTTGTCCGGGAGATTCATCACAGAGCCCTCTAGTCTGATGCCAGATGCGCTTCGTTCGGTAGATGTCGTTCGGGCAAAAACAACCAATTGCACCCTTCCAACTTTGTGTTGGGCTGGTAAACCTAGTGTTCAAAGGTGCAGCGTTAGACATGCCTCCCATGCCATGCAACTAGGATCTTTCCATCTTTCATGAATAAAGGGTACAGTATAAAGGACATGAATTCAATATTTCCAGCTCTCAATACTTAATGAATTCATGATTGAGAAGAACCAATCCTAAGAAGGCTTGCGTGAGGCATGGCCCCAACACCAATGCAAAACCGCAACACCCCCTCCGTCTCCCAACCACCGACGTGGCGAACCCCACGACTCCTTCCTCCGATTCGTCCGAGCCGTTTCGCTCGACACGAAGGCCGGCGCGCCTGTCGTGCAGAGGCCAAAGGAGCATCACGTAGGCTGCAATCAATCCACAGACCAACATCAGAAGCTTCCTCAAGTCATCTCAAGCCGACGTGCACGAGAAAAAAACATCAGGAGGCATGCGACGTTCTCATGCGATGGAAAGGAAGCATGCGTGCTAAAAGCGGGCCATTTTCGTGAAAATGGTGCCATCACCATCGACTTTATTTTTTCAGAATTGCCATGACCATGATGTTTCTTGTGTCCACTCCCAATCGGTTTTTGGATTCCAGGAGCGGACCAGGTCCGGGCACTACGATGTTTCAAGCGCCGCATGGTGCCATGGTTTCATCGAACCATGGTGTCTTCAGAGACTGCTGAATGGACACATTAAATAACACAAAAGCTTTGCTGCTTGTACCCCAAATAGCCAAAGCCGGTAAGACCAAATGGAGCAAGTGGTCGCGGTGACTTGGCTTCTTTGTTGAGCATAGGCTCCACAGCAATCTGTCCAGAAGTGAAAGCCAAATGCAAACTTACTCCCAGAATCATCCACTACAAATTACAAAGCCTGGCAATACTCCAGTACTGGCACTTGTTGTCTATTTAACCATGGCGCGGTGTCCCCCAATATGAGTGGCATTTGATGTCACCCATTCCTTTCTATTGTTACGTGATGATACGGTATGACTGGTCCCCAGTCGTTAGTCGTTGAAGATAGCAGCCATAAACATTTGGCTTGGACATCGAGAAGTGTCGCAAGATACGGATTGCACCAGCTGCACCAGCTCAAGTGGAGAATCTCCATTCAAAATCCAGGGCTGCACCAGCTCGGATTTGCGGCACCACCCCAGTAAAGGAGGCTTCCTTTTCGGATCACCGAAAGACCGTTTTAAACCAACGGTCTTGTTGTTCCAGCTGCTGGTTCCCTTCTTCGTCCGACCCATCACACGCTCGGTGGCACACCGTCACCCCGGAACGGCGTGGTGAGGTGACGGTGTACTGGCGCCATGCGAAGTCATTGCATAGCTGGTAAACACTGTGCCACTTATATAAGTAATTATATAATGTTATAAGTTATATAAGTTATATAAGTTATATAAGTTATATAAGTTATATATAAAAGTTATATAAGTTATAACACTGTGCCACTTAAACAGTTGTATATAATGTTATATAAGACTGTGTCACTTGCTACCTGGGCCTACCAACCGCCTTTCAACGGACGTACCACTGTACCACTTGTACTCTCTGGAAGTTAGGCCACTTGTACCACTAATGACGTTGGCGCATGTCCCAGGCGCATGGTATTCTTGGCTCGTTCTTGGATGCCAGCATTCATGGGACCATACCCTGCCGGCATGCGAGACATTCATGAGCGTTCTTGGATCGGGGGAGACTGGCTCCGAACACATGGGCTTTGGTGCTTTATTGAGGGATGTCCCATGTCGAAAAAACAGTTGGCAATCCTTGCCAGCACCACCCAGCTTGGGTGGTGATTGGATGGAAAATACATAGTCAGGGGTCTATAAACAACCCGACCTGGGTGGTGCTGCTAGTGGATTCAAAATAGAGAAGAACATGTCTTCCATCCAGAGTCGACACGTCCTTTCAGCCCGTTTTCGGCCAAGGGGTAATCTCGCACTCTTGAAGTACATTGATGAGGTTGACCCTCGCAATATAGAAACCGAAGACCAACGCCCTGCAGGAAGAGATCTAAGGTTTCGAAGCCCTTCCAAATGGTGAGAAGTCAGATCGTGTTGTTGTGCAGATCCAACATGAGCACAATGGTCAAAACATGTCATGGCCTGCAACAATCTTTAACATTGACATGACAGTATACTGCTATGGACCTTGAGATGGTGTGGAGGTACAACAAATGGATATGAATTCAGAAGGGATATCAAGAATGCTTTGCATTGAACACACCCTCCCTTTCTTTATAGACTAGAGGATGATACGGTATACAAGGGAACTCAGCACTGCCCACAAAGGCTTTCAATATGGACAGTTGAAGTGGTCCGGGGCTGACTATTCACTTGCTTGTGCCCTCCAATAGTATGCTGTTGTTTTGACGTGTATGCTTGTAATTATTGGAATATCAAGCGCCTTATGATCAAGAACATCAGCTATAGGCCTGAAGCCAGCCAGGAAGGTGTCCGTCTCTGAACATTCCCCAGAAGTACTTGTCGTTACATTCTGCGATACGAAACCAAAGAAATGAAGGAACGATGCGACACGGGATGAAATTGGATTGGAGTACAAAGATCTTCCAAGGAACGAGCCGCAACCACTCACACTTCCCAGCAACCTGTCAAATACATAGCCTTGCACATGCAATCAGAATACTGCGTCCAGTGCTTGACAGTCAACTGAGCATCCCAACAGTCAATCAATACTGGAGAATGCCACACAACCCCAATCACTCGCACTGAGCCATCTATTGAGTCTTACAGTCTGACCCAGTAGGACAATCCAGTCCATGATCCGAACCGCCAAACCCAAATGCTTTGCTCCCACCACCTCTCTGCCATCCGAAACCGCGCCCGCCTCCGCTTGGGCGAACCCTCGCGTTTCCGGCGAAAACCGCACCGAACCTCGCACGAAACTGGCGCCAGAAGCGCCGCGCCTGGGATGTACACTCTGGGAATGGGCAGGGCATTGATCTCATCCAGCAAGAAGCGCGCCCTGGCGGAGGTGCAGCGACTCTCGCCCGCCCATTCGCTAAGTCCCACGGGAGGGTGAGATGTTCAGGCAAAAGCCCTAAAGGTGCGAGTGCCTGGAAATTGGGGGGCTCGGGCTTGCCAACTTACAAATTGGCATCAACATCCAGCCACTTTGCAACTTCAGCCCCAGGAATACGTCTTCCTTCGGCTTCCGCGGACATGTTTGCCGCGTCCCGTTTCGCTTCCCGGCTGTCCGCCGCTGAGATTCGGACCACGAGGTCCCGGGGGTGGCGTTTCTTCCAGAACAGTCATTGGCGTTTCTTCACACACGTCGGCCAGTGGGAAAAAAACTCCGGAAAAGAAGACACATGAAACCGCTGTTGACCTTTTCTTCTCCACCACACCAGGAAGTTTGAAAGGAACTGGGCTGCAGTGGTGGGCTCATCTGCAATTCCGGGCATCTTGTCTTTTTCTTGAATCGAATACAATGCTGGAGACGTTCACATTTTCATGCCAAGACCAGTTGCATCTCATGGCAAAACATTTATATGTACATTGTATACGACTATCCAGTCTGAACCACGTACGACTGGGCAGGCGTAACTACTGGCGTACCTGGTGAACTCGTACTGATCATAAACCGCCGTCGTTCAGAGTATGATCTCTCAACCAAACGGACCCTGAACGGTGACCTGTCGTTCGAACAGAAAATAGCTCTGCACCAGCCTTGATGATGATGCCACACCAATCGAACAACACAGAACCGATTCAAGCTTGGCCTTGAAACTGAACCAGGCCTCAGTATATGGCAAGTGTTTCCAACCTTTCCTACCAGGTTGGCCAACACAATTCCATGATAAACGTCTCATTTATTCGCACACAACCTCAAACCGTTGATGGCCCTTCCTTCGGTCAAAACGACCCGATACCACAGTTATAGCTCAGGCTGAATGGATGCACACAATTAATAGTAGACACTTCCGCCCAATACACTTGGAATACAGTTAGTTCATTCACTTGAACTATACTGAAGACACCAAAAGTTCTTCAGTATAGCGAAGGGGCTGAATGGATGCCGCCACGCACGAACCTCGGCCCCACCGCGGCCCCACCGCTCCTGCGTGGGGCGAAGGCACTTTCGATGAGCTCATCCAAATCCTCGGTCTTCCGCGTTGCGTCGACGGTCTTCAGTGGCGGTCTGAGCTGAAGGTGCCTCCGTTGTTGGTCTTCAGCAGACTGTCACATGTGAACAACTGGAACAATAAGCAAAAAGAATATAGGACACAACATATATTGATACAGGATACAAAACTCTCCAGCTGAAGCAAAACTGTCCAGATTCACATGTGGATACATCACCGTGATTTGATCCTTTTTGGTATCCTTTACAACGGAACCTTTCCACTGACTTTGATACAGGTCCGCAAGAATGACGAAGGACTTCTCGCCCCTTCACGTCGCACTTGCTTCGCATGGGATGCCGAACCGGAAGGGCGTGGTGCCACCGAAAAATGGACGCCATCCAGCTGAAAGAAGAGGAGATCTCATCGTCATCCTCATCTGAAAGTCATTCAAAGACCATAAGGGAACTCTAGACATGAGACGGGCGCCATTCATCCATCAAACAACCTCATATTCCATCCAGTCCGCGCCGAGTTCTTCGAGTAGCGATCTGAAACCTGGAGCCCAAAGCCGGAGTGATCCTCCAGTGGATCGTGTCGCTTCGGGAGAACGACCTGTTTTGGGCCAGTCCCAGTTGTCGCGGCGAACATCGGTGCAAAGAGCACTGCCCTTGGGGCAGTTGAAGAAGACAAACAGCTTGACATGGGTGTGTATGCGGTGTATACATACAAGGAGATGTGTATATATATACTTGAAATCAGGGAGATCCCCTTGGCTTCGGGTGCTGGGTGTCGACGGATCTATTTCCGGAACCGAATCGAGGAGTCCTGTGGAGGTCTCCCTATTCAACACACGCAACACTGACGTGTTTTCTATGGCTTTGAGGCACTCGAGAACCGCCAAAGGATCTGATAAAACTGTCCCAGCGGATGCCAAAGCTTGCGACGGCGATCGATCACCTGCCAGCCGAGCATCTAGAATGAAAGCCAGTGCCACAGCATTCAGAATCCTTAGATGCACTATTCGAAAGAAGCACTGTCATTCGAAGTGGTTCGTCTCGTTGCAGGAGAATCGAAATGGTGAATCTCCACATCTTGGCATTCTTTTGTTGTCATTTCAATCACTTCAATCATTCGCCTGTGTCCAACTATGTCCCACTCTTCAACTTTCCGGAAAAAGGGACAGTCTTCAGGACATGTAACCGTGAGTGGGGTGAGTGGTAGGCGTGGTTGGTGTCTGTTGACTTTCTGTAATCTGTAAGGTTCAATGACTACGGACCTTAACAAGCACATGTTGCCAAAGCACACATACTCCCAAAGGCCAATGATGGATCCTGGATTCACAATGAGGGATTTGGATCTACATCCTTCTTCCAGGACCCCTAAGAAGTCAACGATGACTTGACTCATCGAGTCTGTCTACAGACTGATCACAACACCTCAAAAGCGTGGCGCTTGAAAGCCGCGAGGGCGAACGAACAAGGGCGATTCCGCGTCACGTGGTTCAGGGCATTATTGGGGTGTGTGAATTCCACCAATTCTCCAAATTCCACTTGAAATGAAGACATCTCATGCTCTCCGATGTTCGGCTGCACCAGTGTTCGGCTATCCACGTTGATGAAAGAGATGATTCTCATCCAAATGGTCAACATGAGGCCGACTTGGGCCGACGCCCCAGTGCCCTCCCCGGAAGCTGGACCAAATCTATCTTTCAAGTGTTGGAATCCATGGAACATTGCTCAACCGTCCAAATCTATGTTCCTCAAGTGGGGCAACTGAGGGTCTTTCTTGCAACTTGGCAGAACTCTTGAGGATATGTGCTTTAGTGAGCAGAACTCTTGATATGTTCTTTTGGACACGCCTCTGATACTTTTGTAAACATCTACCATGGATGGTCATACCACACAAAGACTGACCAACAAACTTCCTGACCCACAAAGAGAAACTCCAACCCCCTTGCACCGAAGGCTCAAATCTTCCAATGCAATGGTATTTGCCAGGTAGCGCGTGCCTGTCCGCAGCGATTCGGTGGGTGCAATCAAGAGGTAGCTCAGAACTCATCCCAATTATTCTCTGATGATCCGTGAGGAGAGAGCTGTGCTTGAGGCAAACTTCTTGCACCGGTCATGAAACCCCCGATTCCAAATCTTATCAACTGCTTTTGAAGAAAGTCAATCTTGGAACAATCGTGCCTTTCTGAAACCACTAGTTGTATTTTGGCGGCTACAAGCAACAGGGGTAGATGAGCCCAGTTCCAGGGTTTTACGGACGAATTCCCAAGACCGACGTCCAGTCGTCTATCTTCAGCCTATCCAGGTAGCATTGCAGTGAACAGTGGCATTGGAACTCCATTCATCACCGGTCCCTTCTTGTGAACAGGGTCGTCAGGTTCTTGGGCCAAAGCCCTTAGAAACAAACAAAACTATAGAAAACTCCCAAAGGAGTGATGTTCTCCCTATACTCTTACGGCTGGTGATCTGGGACACACCCTACCATGCGGCATACCCAACAAAGTCTGGTGGTTTTGGGAGAGATTCCAGGGTACCCGAACCACTCGACCTTCTTTCGGGGTTTATAGCTCAAATCCGTCCCTCACCCTAGTCTTCCAAGACTATGAAAAAGATTGTTGATCTGGTTCTGTAGTGTTCTCAATCCTTAACAAAGCAATAGTTGTTTGGTAAAGAAAAATGCTTCAGAACCAGTCAAATTGACATTTGTGAATCCTGGAAGTCCAGGTCTGCTAACAGCTTTGTGGCTCGTCTTGCCATCTTCAACCAGAGCCGCGTTTGTTTCACACGTGGCGACCTCCCGCCCCCCCCCCCGGCCGGTGTCCATGAGCACCACGGCCACCAAACCACGTGGGAACACCACGCAAAGGAAGAGCAAGTTGCGACGCATCCGAGACATGCGGGTGAACTGCACCTGAAGACGTCTTGATCTCGACCCGATCTCCGGTGGAAGGACCCGAACTAGACTATCCCATAGGTACTCCAGGTGACGGGTCCTAGTTCAGGTCACTTAACCTCTCTTGGCTCGACCGGTCGGTTCTTCGGTCCGGCCCTTTCCGAGTTGGAGAGAATTTCCGGAAACCATTTGGTGCCCCGGGAACTCGAGCTGGACGTGGAATTCAGACGTTTGCGTCGTGAGACGGAGAAGACGTGAGACGTTGGACACGTTGCGACGTGAGGCAAATAGTTTGGCACGTGCTGTTCATGTTGACTGTTGGGTTGTTGATAGATGAGTATCCCGACGTTGCACGGGTTCCAGCAGGAAGATGATGAGTAAACCTCCCATCTACTTGGTAGGCACCAACCTTCTCCCGCGCAATCGGATTTTTGAAGAACATGCAGACTGTTGATGAGTAAACCGTAAGGTCGATCCTGCCAGGTTTCAGTGGATGATGGGGCCTGGTTGCAGGCCGACATCTCCCAATAATCACGGCACGTCGCTGGACTCGTCGAAACAAACACCGGTCACTCCGAAAGAATGAACGACGACGCTTAGGGAAGCATGGTAAGCGTTGATGACTGGTAACGTCTAGGGCCCAAGAAGGTGAAGCTGCGTTGGACCCCTGAGTACCAAGTGATTCATTCTTATATCATTATATGATATGATATGGTATAAAACGCAATATCATATATTATATATATATCAACCCATGATATATAATGTCAAAGAGTACATGAATCTTGCATGGAATGAAGCCCTGCCAACAACTACCGCGAAGGGTCTTTTTGGGGGCGCCCGACTTGACAAACGCTGAAAACTCCCAAGTCAGACTTGAAATGATTTAGTACATACATAGAACATCATAGAACTATAGTTAGAACACTCATTTGCTGCTAAACATATATGGTCTCGCTCGCCTCCGCTAGATTGAACCAATCGAACTCTAACATTCACAAAGACTAAGAAACCACATGGGGCAACACAGTACCACACTTGCCCTCGTTCTGTGGGCATCACAGTACCACATCACACACTTTCTCCACAAATCAACCAATAGAAACAACTGCGGCATATCATCGACTGACAGAAAAAAAAAAAGAAACAACACTTGCCGGTGGAGTGGGATCAACCAACCCAAGTTGCAGGTTGAAAAAAGACCATGTCTAAACACATTGGTTCTTAACTTTCTTTTGGAGACCTTCACTCAAATCATGCACCGAAGATACACAAAGTGGCTTCTAGGTTTCTTGGGCCACTGTGGTCTCACCCATTCCTGCCAAAGACACGTTTTGGTCCGTCTGTCGTTCGTCCTCATCGCGCTCGTTCTCCTCCAAGACCGTTTCGTCACCTAAAAAGGCGAAACATGTCGTTGCAATGTCGCGAATGTCGTCGCGATGGTTCGTCGGATGGGCGTCGAGTCACAAAAACACCGGAAATTCAACACCTCTAGTCATAGTCACATATTCATAACACAAACCACTTGATTCCTAAGTGAGGAACTGGTTGAATCACAGTCATAGAGGAGACACACCTTCATATTCATAACAAACGTCTTTTGACGTTCTAAGTGTTTTAACCGGCATTGGTTTCCCCTCTGGATTTTGCATTGATCCGTGGAACAATGTCTATTACTTGTAACACTGTAAACAAACATCAAGAACAGCTTTGTCAGCTTTGCTTTGAACCCAAAGTAGATGGTGCAACCTTTCCTGGAACCTGGAGTCTAGACTTTCACATGGTTCTGACCACAGGAGCGAATGTTCGCGAGCTGCGAAACCACCAAACCCACTGCCCCCAGCTACTCCATGAACTACTCCATGGGGGGCTCACACTGAGGCTCACCTGCCTTGTCTCAGACCCCAAGCAATGCACCAACCAACCATGAAGCACGTGGACTATCTCCTGATGCTCTGATCCATGGGGTGAAGAACCAACCCTGCAAAGCTGCGCAACACACACACAAAACAAGATTGCTTCCACCCTGTACAAACTTGTATGTTCGCAAGGTGCGGATTTCTGCTTTCTGGTGGGAGTTCGTTGCATTCTAAGAATATATCTTGAGTCTTCACCGATGTATATCGATCATGTAGGCAGGCACCTTGGCCACAAATCCTACAGAATATTCTCTTTTGTTCAGGAAAACAAGGTCCAGAAAAAATTCAAATCCATGTTCGGAACGTTTGTGGTGTTTATTATGTATAATTCAGTCACAGGGATGCTGCATGTCCGTCTATATTGGCAATCCGGATCCTGTTTGATGCGACCAACAATTGACGACGGAACGATTCTTCTTGACCTCCGGTGTGTCTCCTGCAACCGCTCGACCGGATTGGCGGCGCCTGTCTCGATGCCCCGCAAAGCACCGGCATAGGCAGCGATATTGAAGATCTCCTGGCGATGGGACACGATCGATGGGACACCTTGGTGTTCAGAAGGTTCGGCCCGGTGAAAAGGGGATGGACGTACTCTGGGTGAAAATTGGACACCTCTATGACCAGGATGGCGCAGCTCAGCGGTCTTTCTCAATCTAAGGATCCACTGAGGTATTTTTCAATGCTGCCATGGAGTGCTTAGAGGTCGACATTGCTGACCTTTTAGAGAAGAGGCGATACTCCCAGTGAGGTATTGATGGACATGGGAGCTGGCACAACAACTTTTCCACAGTCTTTAAAAACGATAAGCGTAAAAAAATGTGATGTTCATTTTTTTGCAGTTTTTGCTTCCAGGATAGTGCCACATAGCGCCACAGCATTTTCCAAAATCTTGAAAGGTTACAACAAAGCTGTGGCTGCCAGGATGGCGCCGCATAGCACCACAACATGTCTCCAAAATCTCCAAAATTGCAAATGGTGCATCTTTTGGTTTCCAGGTAAGCGCCGCACTCATTCTCTCACTCACTCACTCACCCACTCACCCACTCACTCACCCACTCACCCACGCACTCACAAGGGCAAGGCGTGGCCGGTCGTGGCATCCACCGATCGACACCTGAAATTGACTGCTCATGTTATTATTGCTGATGGTTGTTTCTGTAGGGCTTCAACCATAGCCGCATTATTGCACTGGTAAGTGATGTGCCATGCCTGGCGTGAAGCTTCCCCCACGTCTTGCAGCCATGTCACCATGGTCGAAATGTGGGGGCAAAGCACGGGCGGTATTGCGGCGGCGGGCTCGCCGGTGGCGGGCCGGGCACCACCAGCACCGGGACGGGCGCCATGGCCTTGGAGCCAGGCACACACACACTTACTCCAGGCGCATCCTCCGAACAGGTTCCACTAAGTACAAGTCCACCACTCGGACGCCCTCGTCGACCTCGCCTTTCTCGGCAACATGTACAACAATTTAGATATCTCTGTACTATGCATTCTGCAGCACTCTAGTTCGCTTAAAATACTGCGACAGTCTCCTCGGCATCGACATGCAAGCACAATGTTTTCCACGTTTCTTCGTCCTAGTCCATTTCTGCGACACGTTACTCGCCCTCTGAAGCGTCTTCCACCTCTGAGATACTCAACACAACTTCAAACACAATCTAGTCTATTTCTACACAGTGCTTTCTTTCAAACACATATTTCAAGCTTTCTGCCATGTTTCCCACTCTAGTTCGCACTCACGCACTCACGCACTCACGCACTCACGCACTCACGCGCTC